TAGAATTAAGGCAGTTCTGAAGGCGAAAGGGGGTCAAACACCGTATTAGTATGGTGTTCCTAATAATCCTTTAGGTGAGTGTAGATTACGTGTATTTATCCAACATTTTAAACGCAGTCTGTATATTTTATAAAGAAAATTCTGCTTTATGATTTCATAAAAGAGCAGCCGCTCTGGAACAAAAAAAAAAAAACTTTAAATTTAAAATAATTAATAAAAAAATAATTAAAATTCGGTGATGGTTGAAAAATTAATTTCAATACATCACTATTAAAATTGTTGAAATGTACAGACCTTCATGTGGCTGCACAGGGCATGACCACCAAGTAAAAGTAGTCTTCTGTAATAAAAACTTTTCTTATCTAAAAACGTTCTTCATTGACACCAAATATGATACTACTTGAACTGTTCACTCCTACTAATCTGCCATTTCCATCCAGCAGAAGCTTAGATTCTTGGGAGCTAAATTGGCACGCCATTACTATCATGCAAAAAGCTTATTGTATGTCTTGTTTTGTCTTTTTCTGTAGAGTGTGCCCATTTACTTCTGGCCCACAATGCACCGGTCAAGGTGAAGAATGCTCAAGGATGGAGCCCTCTTGCTGAAGCCATCAGCTATGGAGACCGGCAAATGAGTAAGCAGCAGACCCCCTGCTGATTGTCGATCAGCAGGCATAGTTGTTGTTATTGTTGCTGTTATTATTATTATTACCATTATTACTGTTATCATTGTTATGTATCTTTATTATATATATGAGTTCACTCTGTAACAAACCAAATCCAAAACGGCCCACCCTTGTGAGACTGAATGACAGGCAATAGAGTCATTATAAGGTCATTATAGTACCAGAGATTGTGCTGTGCTCTAATTTCATCTTGCTTTGATCTCTTACATAGAGGACAAAGTCGGGTTAAATAAAACCTGGAGTTTTTCAGCCATGCCCCCTTACTTACTCAACTTCCGGGCAACTGACAGACCTTCATTCCTGAGCTTTTCAATCACGCAGCAGGTTAAAATGGTGGGAAGTCACAGGTCAGGGCATAACCCTGTACTGGGAAAGATATTTTTTATTCTCTTTTTCTTTGCCTTGCCATTTGACTGCATTTTGCAGAGTGAGCCCTGAAGTATTATGGTGAGGACAATGGCACTTAGGAGTGGATCTCTGTAAGCTAGAACATTTCCTTTAGGGACAGAATGTTCTTGCACAATGACAACAAAGTTTCCCTATGTGAAAGAGAGGGTGCGGTAAAACTAGGTTAATTAAGTTTGATGGGAAACCATCCGCAATTATCCTCAATTGTAAAGTCTATACCTTATTATATTAGTATAATGTATGGAGAGATAAAAAATATATAACACACTTTAGATAGTCCTTCATACATTTTACAGTCCCAGACAATGGAAAAGCACGGTATTGATTTTTGTCGGTGTTGTTGCATGATGTCATAATGCTTGGGGTCTCCCATCGCTGATCACTCTTGCTGGTCTTATTGTGATGGTGGGTGTGATTATGCCTTGTTTATGTGCACAGATATGTGGGGGCTGTAGTCCATTTGCAGCTCTCACAGCTGCGGAGCATAATCCACAGGGTGTGACTGTAAAATAGCAGCTGCCTAATCACTGCTGTGCAGCCAATGTCTCATACTGCCAAGGAAACTGTTTTACGGGCCTGAGTTGTAGATGGCACAGATTACCCTGGACAGGAAAGTTCGCTTCTGTTATTAGCCCGTTCACTGCTCCTAAACCACCGGAATCCACTTCAGTATCGAGAAGGAGCCCTGAACATGGCCTGAGAATGGTGCTCTTAGTGTCCTGCAAGGCAGGCGATTCATCACTTAAAGTACAGAAGTTGCTTGTATGCAGAATTATGTGTTTTACATGTAGAAAAACATTTATTGTGAAGGGATTTCAGTGAAAATCAATTAAATGATTTTTGGTTTTACAATTTGTACTGTCAAGCATGTTGTCAGATTCAACAGGCGAAGTGTGAAAACCATTAGTATTTTATTTGATATGGTAATAATATTGTAAGATGCCCATTAATCCAGTCATACTTCCACTTTATGAAAGTGCATTAACGCTGATCACCTGGAGCCTGGGTTTTGTGTGACATGGAGCTCAGCGTGTGATGGAAGGAGTGTCACCTGGGTCCCATCCCCCCTCCTCTTAGGAGTTAAACAGATATTAACATTTGCTATAGTAAGAAAAATCATGACTGGTTAGGTTGAATGGCTGTTTGCAGCCGGCTATTTCGTCAGCTTGTTTGTTTTTATACTAAAACATGGACGTTGTAAAAGATGAACCACTTCCATCTAGTTACTTTAGCAGGGTTCTGTAATTCAGGATAAACAGGAAAGTGGCTTTGGCGTGGGAGGGGCAGCCGTACAGGGCGCATCCTGAAAGCCCCCACCTGCAGCGAGCAACGGGGCATCCTGAGGCTGCAGCTCCAAATTTCGTTTAACACGATAAACGTTGTTAAATACACGCCAGCACATATTTGGCTTAATAAAAGGAAGAAAACATCTGTTTGAAATTCAACCCCCCCCCCCCAAATACTCCTCCATTCTTTTTGTTGTCCTGTCCCTCCGTTTTAGGTTTTCAAAGGCAACAGTTTTCCCCTTCAAAGCCATTTCTTCTTCCCTTTGTTGAGCCGTGAGTGGGGATGCCAGCTGTCCGTAGCTTCCCATAGCTGCCCTTTGGCTCGGCACCGGCGCCAAGCTCTCCCTCACGCTGACCTGCCTTGCCTTTGTTGCCAGCTTACCTGCAGTGTAAAATGCCGGACAGGAATAATACAGCACGTCCTCTTTGACCTTCCTGGCAGTCAGCCGGCAGTGACACACTGGTAAACGTCACCTGGCCGCTTTGTACCACGGTGCAGAAGGTTGTCATTGTGACGCTCATTTCATGATTCCTATTAAATGGACTGTGTTTTACTCTGCCCAGTTATATTTGTACTCTGGGAGCTATTGTTTAGTCCTTGAAGCAAGGGATTGTAGGTGTACATGACAGGTAGAGGTATCTGGGCATTGCTACGTGCAAATCAAGCTTGCTGGTCACTGCTCTGCTTTGCGGTTGTGCTTTTTAAGAGTGGATTGCTGTTGTAATTACACCTGGCCTAGCTATCTCCTAAGGATGAGGAAGCATACCAAATCTTCCTAATCCCCTTAACTTCCTGCTCATTGTGCCTGACTTCCTTTTGATGTCACCCCGCAGCATTAATGCCTCCCCCACCCACATGCGAGTGCCGACAGAAGGGAGGCTGTTCACAGTGCTCGCTTTGTCAACCCGATGCAGCATCTACAAGGACGTGGGTTTTGCTGCCGCTCACGTGGTGAACTTAACTAGGTAGAAAATGCTCAGTCGGGTCAGCTAATCATGCAGCTGAGCAAGGAGGGGCCAAAACAGGCTTCAGAGATAATGAAGCATTTGTTATTTGTGCATTTTTTTTTATCCACAACTGCTATGTGCAGCTGTTCAGTATTTTTAAGTCCATCAGAGTTATGGGTGACATATGTCTTTTGTACATGAGATTACAGCTTTACGTGATTTATTTCTTTTTCTTTTGCTTGGTTTTTGAGCAAACAAATGCCAAGTAACTGTTTCGGAACCATTGAGCGAGTACGGGCGTGTTTCAGTCATCGGGATCGTTATTAGCTCTTAGGGAAAACTGACAGTAGATCAGCATGTGGGGCATTATGCAGGGATTAAGTGACCTGACAGTATAGGGGAAGTTTAAGCTCAGGTGACTCTAATCAGCACCTGTCAGCACTGTGTTAAGGGCAGATGGGATATTAAATCAATGCTGAATGTATACCATTATGAATTACAAACAGAGTGATATTTCACATTATAATTTATGATTCATGCCTCCTGAAACTCAACTAGTAGAGAATTGTGCTAACAGTCGTGTGTTCAAATCCCCAGGTGCACACACAAATTGCATTCCTTCCCTGTACTGTAAGTTGCTTTGGATAAAAGCATCACACAAATGAAATATTAAATGTAAGTGTCCCCCTAAGCAAATGCAGAAATAGAAGCAAACTTTAAATATATTAACAAGCTCTGCCATGTTGGGTGATTTCTAGGGAGGTTGATTGTTGGCTTCAGTGCCGGAGGATGATTTTACTGGCTTTAACAATTCTGCACCTGAATGTGATACGTTGCTTGATGTAGTATCTATATATCTATGTAGTGATATAGCCTGTGAAGTGTGCAAGATAGAGGGAGTGCGACCGTACCTTGCCTGGCTTTCTGTAATCATATCTTGTTAATACAGTCCATTTCCCCAAAAGACAATACTTTATTTGGCTTGAGTGCAGGTGGGGTGGAACTGAATTGCACTCAGCATTGATTCGGTTTATTGCCCAATAAAACTATTAACAGTAGCAGCCACACCTAAAGTAACAAATGCAACAAATGCAGCTATGTTACTGAATCAACAGTGATCAATGAATATTTTGTTGCTCCCCTTATTTAGGGAAAAGAGCTCAAGATCCCAAGCGCTCTGTATTAAATGTTTTTATGAGGAAGTTGCTCCAGTTTGTTTGACACTCAATCTGCAATCGTTTGCAAAGTAGCAGGCCTTTTGGGCAGGCCTGCCGTGGGAGCGCTTCGGGAGAAGTCAGTGTTAACGTTATGTGAATTGCCTTTTATTCCTCCCTCATCACTGGCTCTCTTAACCATAATAAAATGGAAAAGTGGGTAGGAGTTAAGGCTAGAAATAAGAAGGATTTATTGTATAAAACTGGATTGTTCTGTCTGACCGCTGGCTTAGCATGGGCTCACAGGTAAGCCGCTCTTTCGTAAGCTGCCCGATAATGAATTGGCATTAAGTATTCAGTGGTATGAATGCCTTTGCCCATGTTTCCTGCAGGGGTGTTCTGTCATTCCCCATGTGATGTTTGCTAAGTACTAATATATTACACTTAGTCTTGTTAAGGAAGACAGAGTTGTTCACATCCTTATTAAAATTGCAGATCCCCCCCCCCCTCAAAGCCCTGCAAATTAGGAGCAATGGTAAATCTCTCTCATCAACAGCAGCACCAAGGTCAGGTTAATGGAGGAGGGAAGCTTAGATTTAACCTAAATAAACAACTGGCCAAAAATGGCTGTAATTGCAGTGTTATCCTTGAGCTAATGAGTCTTCAATCATCTGACTGTATGCAGTCTCTACAGGATTTCGCCGAGTGGTTTTTTTTTTGGGATTGTTGTGGCCAAAATGCTTGATTTTGCAGTAGCTTTTCTCAACATTTGTGATGCAAATTGTATGTAATTACTGTCTTTGTGACCTGTTTCTTTTTTATATGGCATAATGGCATTGTCCGTGTTAGGGCTGAAACAACTAATCGATTAAATCGATTAAAATCGACTATTACAATAGTTGGCAACTAATTTGATAATCGATTAGTTGGGTCTACGTTACTATATACATAAGTACAGTGGCTACTCCGTAATTACGGAGCTAACCAAAGCCGCGGTGGCAGTAAAGCACCATTAAGCTGGATGCCGACCGCCATAAAAGAAAAAACTAAACGAGAACCAATGCCATGCCTTGATCAAGTAGTTTACATGATGAATTCTGGAAGAATTGAAAAAAACGTTTGAAAAATGGCAGAGGCGGACACAGCAGAGCCTCGTTTCAATTATGCCAGAAACGGTAGTATTTGACGATAATTAGCTCAAATTAGGTCGGAGAGACACTGATGTATTATGTGACGTTGTGGAGTTTTTGGATTATTTTATGCAATTATTCAGATTAATTAACGCAAATCCTTCATTCAGTGGTGTAGTGGAGGGTAAATGCACATAAACGCCGTTTACGCACCTTTTAAATTTACAAAACAGCGTTTACTCACCTTTTTGAGATCACACGTTAAGGATATGAACAGTTACCCACCGTTTTTACTGCTGTGCATATACAGTAGTTTACCCACCTTAAATTTCTTGTTACCACTACACCACTGCTGCATTTCTTCATGTTAGAAATTTATAGTAATATTAAATGTTGTAGTACTCAAGACCAGTTTTTGAAGGTCTCGATCTTGTCTTTGAATCAGCCGTATTTGTACTCGTTCTTGTGATGGACTCGGGATTTCATTTCGAGACCACAACTCTGAGAATATTCCTATTAATTTGCCGTTTACTGTCGGATTGGATAACTTCTCACTTCAAGTGCAACCAATGACGTTACTGCCGACCGCGTTACCCGCCCCGCCCCTTCACACACACACACGTGTGTGCACATGAACACCGGTGAAGTCGTGCTTGTCTAGGAAAGATGTCAACACAATCGGCTATTATCAAATGTGGCTACATATACCACAAAGTGTTTACCCTACCATTCTATTAGGGGGGCGCCCCTATATAGCGCCAGTTCATCAGTGTAGTATGCGCACACAACCAAACACGTTGCCGCCTGCCGTTCTTGTGCATCTGAGCTGCTGGCTGTGTGGGAATAAAGTTACTGTACTTTATGGTGAGGAATTAAAAGCCCAACCGCAGAGTGCAATGTGTGTAAGGTTAGTGCTGATTTTTCCTAAGTCTGGACACAGTAAAATTTACACAAAAACAGGGCTCCAGATGGCGACTATAATGGTTGCTAGTGCAACTAGATTTTTTATTTTGCGACTAGTTTTTTCATTCGTCAATGCCAACTGCCTCTCAGAATCCAAGAAAAAATAAAAAATAAATTAAAAAGGCAAGAAAAGTGGCAGCTCTTAATTATGTGCACTCTTAACCCACGTCTGCCTTTCTTGCTACATTATCACGAGATTAAAGCGTGGATCGATCCAGATCAGTGTTGACAGATTGGGCAGCATTTGTCAAATCGTTGCGGTAGAAACTCTTTACACAATCTGGCACCCTGTTACTGAGAGTGTGGAGCCTTGGAAGGGGCATGGAGGGAAAAAAAATCGATGGTTAGGAAAAAATGGACTCTTGCAAAGGTGGGATGGACTTTTGCGAGATCCCACAATACTTTTCCTTCACTTATAATAACTGCGCTGTGTCCATTAAAAGGACAAAAGATATACTTATTAGTCCATAAATAAAGTCTAAACCTAAACGATACAGACTTATCCTGTAAGCTGTGCTTTAAGCATTGAACTACCACATAACTTGCATATTATGTGGTTTTTTTTACATATTTATTAATAATTGCACGATAGCAATATAGCTGGTCTATTGAATGTGAAGGGCAGGCACAAACCTTGAAGAGTATTACAAACAGTTAAAGATATTACAGCCAGAAAATTGCATGTGAAGCTAATTTTATTGTGGTGTTGAGTTGAGGTTTAAACTTGGACGCTCTTTCTGGAATATTTAAGTAAAGATCCACATATCCCCACATACATCATCAAGCAAGAATACCAGGGACGAATACCCGGTTCGGGTTTAATCCCTAACTATGACACGGCTGTACAGTTAGCTTTATATTCAGTTTTCTAGCTGTAATATCTTTCAACAAAAGCAAGCAACACCCCTTTGTTTTCCAGAGTTCTTTACATGCAAATTTTAATATTTCAGTGTTTATGTGTGTACTTCACGTTCAGTAGCCCAGCTGTCTTGCTTACATATTGCATGTTACATATTGCATATTTCTGTCATTTAGTATTATGTTATAAGGAAGAAGGCATTAGTAGGCAAGTCAGATAGGAGAAAGCAAAGGCAGAGCACAGACAAAATGTGCCATGTAAGTATTTTTTATTTATTTCACATTTGGCATGTGATGAAGATTATGGCTCCTAAAAAGCATTTGGCTCTTGAAGTTTTTTTTTGTTTTTTTTTGTCTGGAACCCTGCAGTGTTCTTTCATATATTTTGTACTGGAGACTTATGTGTATTGTTTGACTAGAAATAATTATTTGGGGTATAAAGTGATATTTTTATTATTACTTTTCTTTATTACATTTAATTTGGCAAACGATTGCACAATTTGCACTTTAAGAAATATCTGTTCATTTTTTGTGGAAGTTGTTACTGAATAAAACAAAGAAGCAGACTTCTGTAAAACATGTTAGCTGTGGATTTCTTCCTGTAGCGTGGTGGCCTTGATTTTGTTTGAGCTACATGACCTTTGTATTAAACCTATTCTTTGCATGCTCAAACAATGCTGCTACAACACTAAATGCAGATACTTTGCTAAAGGGGCCCTAATATTCTCATATTCACTTCATTATTTTTGGGGTCTACTAGAATAGCTATGTATGCTTTAATGTTCCAAAAACACATAATTTTTTCTCATACTGAACATCTCTATTCACATAACTAATTCTATAACTAACTAGCTGAAACGCTCTGAGATTCATGCCTTGTCCACACGTACACGGGTATATTTTAAAACATACCTTTTTCTATACGTCTTGGGCTTTTGTCCACACGTAAACGGCGTCTCAGGTCACTGAAAACTGAGCTTTTGCAAAACTCCATCTAGGGTGAAGATTTTAAGAAACTCCGTTTTCAGCGTTGACATGTACACAGGGAAAACTGAGTTTTTGGCTCACAACGTCAGATTGTGATCAACAGGCGTCGGAATGTGCGCCATGGTTTTCAGCTTAACAGGACTGGCAATTAGGCTCCTGATTGGCTAACATGGCAGTACGGTTAGAGTTATGCCGTCTGTTGTTTTGGCATGCTTTTGACAGCGCATTTTAGCGGTTTCATGTGGACGGAAATTTTTAGTTTAGAAAAGAATGGTTTCTGTGTGTGACAGTTACTCCCTTTGGCTTATACTTTGGGCCTTAATACTTTTCCGTCCATTTACATGCACAAGAAAATACTGTCTCTTGGTTCCAATTAGTGAACTCGATTCAACATTAGCAGCAAAAATATCAGTCCAGTACATTACTAGAACAAAATGTTTGATTTCTGAAGTGTCCAGTATTTGTTTCATGTAGACTATGTACAGCTGTGCACTTTACAGTGCCTCAACTTAACGGTATACAAAGTTGGCCTTCACTTTCACAGTCATTTTTGTTGGCAAATTGAATGCGTTCACCATGTTGATCTTTCCAGCAGCACAGCCTAGCATGAAAGACATGAATGCTCACTATAATGGTGTTACAGATGTGTCTTGATCCAGATGCAAGTGGGTACATTGATTTGGCCATTTCTTGTAGGGAAATCTATGGTTAATTTGAAAAATTTCAAGATCACGCAAATAATGTGGTATTTGCTTGATTTTGTGTTAATTTCTGCAATCACAATATTGTGAAATCCCAGAGGGACTGTATATGTTGGATTAAAATGACTCCAATACTTATTTTATTGGCCATAGTATTATTTTCTTGGTACCTGCTGGTCAGTAACTATTCCAAGCACAAAGGTTTTAGAAACTGGCACGAGTTTCAGTTTTGTAATATGGAAACAACATGAAAAATGATAATTGGGGATGAACCAACCACCTCCCCCCCCGCCCCCAGGAATATTTCCTAAAATGATAATTAAATGATATATTGACTGGAAGTTATAATCAATTAATTAATTGATTAATTAATTAATTTCCTTGCTACCAAGCTGCATATCTTTCTTCTGTTTCTAGAAATAAACCCAATTTATCCTGCATTAGTTTATATAACTTCAATAGACCAATGATAATAAGTCGATTTCTGGCCCTTTTAATTTTCTCTACAGTTCACTATCACTTTAGACTGAACTTAGAAATGTGAATATATTAGGAAATATGATGCAATTCCTTCTCCATGAGCTGAAATTCCTCCAGCAGCAGGTGTCACTTCCAGCTCTGTCTGTTGTGATTTATGCTTTGGAAGCAGAAAGGACCCGTTTCCTCTGATAATGTGCCCAGCTGGCCACGTTTCCCCATCATTCATAGTTTGAACATCCAGCTGCCTTTATGCTGTGTTTTGTTTCATTTCAGAGAGATTCGTTGAAAAACACTGATAAAAAAAGTGCTTAACACTGTTGTTTTTATGGCCTTCAACAAAAAAATTGCAATGTTAGACTGAGTATCCCTTCAGTTTTAAAATATAACTCTGTCAAATACATGCTTTCAAAGCACCACGGAGATCCATGGCTTATGTGTTTCATTCTGTCTCTCAGTCACAGCATTGCTAAGGAAACTGAAGCAACAATCCAGGGAGAGTGTGGAGGACAAGAGACCGCGGCTCCTGAAAGCTCTTAAAGAGGTAAAACTCCCCATTGTACCAGATGAATGGGTGGGATTCAGCTGCCATCCTGGAGTAGGTCCATCCCTCCGTCCATCCATCCACCTGGTGGTATGAAATGTTTATCTATGTCAAGACAGCACAGGAAGTCTGATAGTTTCTCCATTACATCCGGTTGCCTCTAAACAGCATTTTAACGGCAGTTGAAGCCGCTAACCTTTTGCTAACCATTTTATGACTTTCATATGTGCGTCTCTCTGACTCACTATCTACAAAAATCCAACAAGAGATGGGGGGTCATTTTGTTTCTCAAAGGTCAAAATTCTGCTCTCTGTTACTTAATTTCTCTATTAAAATAGAACAGAAGTGTTGAAATGTCTCAAATAACCGGTGAGGCGCTGCTGGTGTCTCAGGCTGTGAAAATGAAGCCAGGTGCACTGACCCGGACCCGCTGTAGACATGGCCATTCATTGATATACCGGCGCCAGGATGAGCCCCCCCGGGCGGGGCAGCGAGAGCAGCAGATAAGGCTAGTCAGTCTGACTGTCAGAGAGACGATATTCCCGCTTAAAGCAGATTGACCTCAGGGCCCCGTATCCCCTTTCTAAAAAAGACAGGAATTATCTCTTATAGCGCTGCACTTTAAATCGCCACGGCACTGGTTCATCCATCTGCTGTTAGCCCCTAGTCAGGTTGAATAAGTGAAAATTGTAAAATCATGTTCTGTTACTTAAGTTAGATGCATCAGTGCACAGGCAGTGAGCCAAGTATTTTTTGCATAGAACTTTAAAATATCTAGATTAAAAAATTTAACACCCAATGTTTTCAGTTGTTACATATAGCGTTCTTCTTTTCAGCTCGGGGACTTCTACTTGGAGCTTCACTGGGATTTTCAAAGCTGGGGTGAGTTTCTCTATGGATTAAATATTTGATCTTTGCTGAGTTCAAACTCAAACTATCTGAAGAAAGACACCATCTCTTTGCTTAAAAAAATGCTAAAATTAAATGATTGTATTGTATCTAATAAAGGCAGAGATCATGATGGCCTTTGGGATGGGGACTGCAGTCCATGACATGATCACTATGAATAACCCCTGTGAAACCTGAGGAGTTATCAAACTTAACTCCCCGGCCATCTTCATATGTCACGCCTGTTCAAACTACATTAAAATATGTATAACTCAGCCCCAATATTAAGTTTCCCATCATTGTAAGGTAGCATCGAGCTACGGTTAGCGTTTGCTAACCTTTTTATGACTTTCATATGTGCGTCTCTCTGACTGACTATCTCCAAAAATCCAACAAGAGATGGGGGGTCATTTTGTTTCTCAAAGGTCAAAATTCTGCTCTGTTGCTTAATTTCTCAGCCCCATGGTTGACATCTCTAGTTCCTCTATGTCCTGTCCCCCCCCCCCACTTCATAAAATGAATAAAGGTGCAATTCAGCAATTTTCTTTCTCATCCACCATAATTTCGGAATGTCATTTACGATAACCAGAGGGCATTCATTTGTCATTTATGAAATTGCTTCAGAAAATTAGCCCCAACAGGAATTGTATAAGAACCTAAAATATGAATTCCGATGGTCAGGTGACCTTTCCCCTAATTCACTGTTGAAACTATGGGGCCAGAGGCCGGTATGAAATACCCAGTCCACACCCAGGTACACTCATTTACTGCAGCCCAGTGGAGCTCATGTCTCTTTAATCCTATAAATTATAAAGCAACTTGCTTTAAGCTGTGTGTTTTATGAAAACGTGATATGCAGCAAAACCACAGGGGAAGAGCTCTTCAGTAGCACATAGCGCAGTGACAACTTATTGGCCCAGGGGGTGGAAGAATTGACATCAAGGGAAAGACAGCTAGCCTGTACTAAAGCATCACGTGACGGTTATGTTGCGGTCAGGTCACAGTCATGTCGGTCCACGCCCAGCCACCAAACCACCCAGCCACCAAACTACTTCCCCTTATTAAGGGGAAGTGTGTAATAGAAAAAGAATTTATAGGCATGAACCATAATGCTTGAAAGTACTGCTTGATTTCCTTTCTTTTTTAAGAAAAGAAACTTGACTGTGTTGCAGAAGTCACACAATAACAAGTACATGTCTTTGGGTTGTTTTTACGATTGCAGGTTGTCTGTGGGCTATTAGACAGTCTGACTGATGGCTTGAGGTGGCTGATACTCCTTTTACAAGCACAAGGGAAACTGTAACACAACCGAACGGTCAAACGTACTCCACCTATGTTAAATTCTGCATGCTCCCTTTATTCTGAAAAGCAGAACAGAGCAGCAGTTTCACAAGCGTTCGCAAGAATTCGGCAGGAGCTCGCCCCCCAGTGGTCGGTTTCATTGCCCGCAGTCTCGGTGCCGTCAAACGGCCCTCGCGGAGCATGTCTGCACTTGCCGTAGCCATCTGGGACAGAGCAAAGCCCATAATAAAGGGATTTTAATTCCAACCCCAAATAATAAAGCCTACGATACAATAAAATACCTATAAACTTGCCAATTTGAGAATATCCTTCCATATATGTCTAATTCAGGAGGGGGTGGGGGGCTAGGGGGCTAGGGTTTGGTCCTTAGAATGCCAAGAGGAAGCCTCAGTGAGCTCAGGGAGAGTACACACAGGATCAAAGGCGCCGCCCTGCTGGTTGCAGAGATGACTTTTGCCATCGATCTGCTGCCCCACCCGCTTTGAACTAAAGTAGATAAAAAGTTACCATTAAGGGCAGGTGAGCATGACGGATTTTGTGCAGTGACTGAGCCAGGATCTGATTTGCGCTGTTGTAGAGGAATAACTGGCTTAATTCAGTGGCCGCAGCAGAAGTACTGAGAAATTCACAAGGCAAAGAATGAAAAAGAATGTGTAAAAAGTGCACGCCGGTCAAGTTAAAACCCGCAGATCACATCTTCACCAAGGATTATGATGCAGTGGTCCTTAATTGTGACTTTGCGCACCAACTGATAATTGCTCCACCTATTGGGTAGAAAATGCACATTCTTGCCTTTGTACCGTGACACTCCTTGACATTGATGAAGCCTTTTGTTTGGAAAAATAAAGCTGAAGGTGTCAAACATCTAAATGTATTGTTATATAAGAAACAAACATGTAATTTGGAATGAATGACGATCTAACTTAAGAATTTAAAATGAGGATGCGTGTAAATTATTCATCAAAAGGTCGAGTTTAATGATGCGCAGCCTAGCACACTTGACTGTATAAAGTCTAAGTGCTTGAAGCATTGAAGCACTGGAATATGGAGCATCCCCAGTCTTTAAATAAAAATGTCAGGCTTAATTATCATTCCATCATAAACAGAGAGAGTCCTGTTTCACTGGCCCACTCGTGCGTGGTTACATATGATGCCCTAATAAACAAATGGATTAATTTTGTGATATTATAATATCGAAATATGAATATAGACAAATTTTATTATTGTGCCTCTATTTGAAGAGGGAGGATGAGTTTCAAGAATTCCTCATTCTTTTTTGTATATTTTTATGTGTGCATTGTTCCATTTTGGTTTTTGATTTTGTGTAAATGTATTACTACAGCAAAGGGCTTCTCAAAACATTTGTTGTCAATCTAATGCCGGATGTTTTACTGGCTGCGCGGTCGTTCACACACCCAGAGCAAAGATGCAACAGATAAACAAAAATAAATAAGTAACAATAGATGTGCAATTGTCAGAGAAACATACAAAACAGGCTGCATTCACATTACAAGCCTCATTGTTCAGTTCTGATTTTGCCTGATTTGCCTGTCTTGATGGTTCACATTCATAAGTACAAGTGACCGTAATGTGAACACATCTATCCCTCGAAACGGCACGCATGCACACACCGATACATTTTTGCATGAGTAATCTGCGTCATCAATAACAAATTGATCTGACTGTTCTCATTCATGTCACATGACCATGAATTGGATATGTATCTGACCTAGAATCAAATATGAAAGGGACTAAAATCTGATTTGAAAAGATCTGATTTCTGTGTCCAAACAGCCCTGAAAACATCAAACCTATGTTATATTAAGGCAAAAAAGTTAGATTTGAGTCACTTCAGCCTGGTAATGTGAATGTAGCCTTAAAAATTACAACATGAAGCACAGAACATGCTCTGTACAAGGTCTTTCAAGAACTTTTTTTGTGTTTATTTTTTTGTGATTTTTGTTCCTCTTTTTATTTTAGTGCCTTTGCTTTCCCGAATTTTGCCTTCTGATGCCTGTAAGATCTACAAACAGGGTATCAATATCAGGTATGTTTTTCAAGGATTTCTATACTAGATGTTCCTACATCTCAGGTATATCACACCTTTTCTTTTCAACCTTAGAAAATACCAATATGGTGAAGATTTATCTTCATTGAAAATACTGTAAAAATGTTTGAATAAGAGAATAAGAGAACCTTAATTTGGCTGGTAAACAAAATTCCATATTTTTTTCTACTAATGGTTTTCTAGTCTTCTTAACAGATTACATACAGTATAGGTTAACCATGGGAAAAATTGATTCATAAAAGGGTAGCCAAGCTTGCTTCCTGCCTTCTTCTAAGATGCAGGTTTTTCTCCTACCAGACCAAGGCATACAGGGTCCTAGTGCTGCCGTTGGAAATGGGAGTTTGAGTAATTGGCTTTGCAGTCTTATTAAAAGGTTCACCTCAGAAACGATAGACTTGATAGGTGGGAACCTTCCAGATACGCAGGTCTTCAGGGGCCTTCGCCTTCCGGGCTGCGCAACTGTGCCACCGGCATGTTTAGCTGTATGTTCCCAGGCCTGGCATTTCCAGCCCTGTCGACTTCATTTGCATTCCATTTGTAAACTCACCTTCTATTTAGTTTAATTTAGAAGGAAGCGCACCTCCTGTTTTCACCGGCAATGCTGCCTTTCAACTAAAATCCAGCCTGAATAGTTCAAAGTGTCTGAAGTTGCCTCCCCCCACCCCCCTTCGCCCCTTCAGACTCGACACCACCCTCATAGACTTCACAGACATGAAGTGCCAGCGAGGAGACCTCAGCTTCATCTTCAACGGGGAAGCTGCACCCTCCGAGTCCTTTGTTGTTCTTGACAACGAGCAGAAGGTCTACCAGAGGATACACCATGAAGTAAGAGGCTCCTTATTTAATTGAATCATATGTTACCCAATAGCGACACATGCTACTGGTGAAACTTAGCCACCTTCTTACCACCAAGGATGAAAATGCCCGTGTTCCGAAGGTCACTGGTTCAAGTCTAATGAGTAGTGGTGTCAGCACTGGGCCCTTAACCTCAAGCGCTCCAGGGACTGGCAGACCTTTCTTTCTTACATCATTTGTCTGCTAAATACATGTAAAATGCATCTATTTTTGAAGCCATGTGGAACTTAGCACTGGATTCCTGAGGAAAAAAAATGTTCTATTATAGGTTGATGTTGAGTATTATTGTTCAAAGATGCCAGTCTAATGCCCACAATAGTGTCTGTGTCTGTTACTATTCTGTGATGTTTCGTCTGTATGGTTAGTGTGATGTTCACTTATGGTGCCCAGTAACATCCTAAGGGTTGTTTTACTACTGATCTACTACTGACGTGAAGACCGCATTTGGGGATCACGTGACAGTCAAAAATTGAAAGAACTTGTGTTCTGTGACACAGGTGTCCCTCGATTGTCCATTGGCTAGGGGAAAAGTAGCAGGAAGTCAGGAAGGAAATCAGGAAAGATTGTATATAAACACTAGGCATGTAACTATGAATCGTGAATCGATTAAAAATCGATGCAAATGTATGACGATTTAAACTGGCCGATGTGGAAAATGAATCGCTACTTTAGGAGTACTTCACGGTACTTTACTTAACAAAAAAACTGGTGTAATATTACATTTGATTTCACGACGTCAGTTCGACCTCATATGTCACTGTGTATTCACGCCAACGTCGTATGTTAGTTTTTGGTTCTGACTGAACGTGAGATGGCGAAAGAATTTGAAATTGAGGACGCACCCCCCGATCTTAAATCAGCGGTGTGGCGGAATTTTAGCTTTCCGGTAGTCACAAACGACAACGGCTAGAAATGCACAGACAAGCCCAAAACTGTGACTGCGTGCAAACATTGTAAAAGACTGATAACATACACAAATAGCACAACGAACATGCTTCAGCATGTCCACCGGCACCACAGTGAGCTCAATTCACCACCGCCAGAGCGAAGATTATTAAAAGGGCAAAACACGCTAAAAAGCTGCACATGCAAGCCTTAGTTTATTTATTTGAATATATATATATTTTTTTTTTACTTATTTTGATTTGGGATTTTTTTAAACAGTTTTTTATTCAATTTCAGTTGCACTGTTAAGAAGAGGACACATTCTGCACAGTTTAGAAAGATAAAGGAATATTTTTGAATAAATTTGTCTGCAGCTCATTCTGTTAAAAAATCATGAGAAAATCGTATCGTGAACTCAGAATCGTCTATCGAATCGTGAGTTGAGTGTATTGTTACATCCCTAATAAACACCTTTTCTACCCTCTGTGATCCAACTGAAAACAATCATGGTGAGCGGATCCCAAGTAAGGTTGACTGAGAAAGTGTAGAAATATTTATATGATACCTCCCTATGGTATTATAAAGACTCCCAGATGGCTGCAAACTAAAGTAAAATACATGTTTGTAACTACAATGCCATATACCTGTCTATGTCCTTATGTGCTGTAAGAATGTAATGCACAGTTTGTTTCAGTAAAATGACTTAATATAACATCCATTCTTCCTAAACGTGAGCAGCATCACGCTACAGCACCACCCCAGCCCTGGCATCCTGGCATCAAATTACATGGCGGCCAGGCACAGTGAGGCAGGAACGTCCTCTGGGCCACGGACGGTCCGGCGCTGTGGTGCATCCACCACTGCAGTAGGTGCCAACCAGCCCTAATGTAGACTTTTTTTCTTTCAGGAGTCAGAGATGGAGACAGAAGAAGAGGTGGACATTTTAATGAGCAGTGATATTTACTCAGCCACCCTCTCTACCAAATCCATAACCTTCTCCCGGGCACAGACTGGCTGGCTCTTCAGAGAGGACAAAACGGTAGCAAGATTTCCGAGCTTTCAGATAAATGCCTTTAGCCATGGATATCAATGTTACATACCTCATTTCCATACCGACCCTCGAAGAATGAATGAAGTCTTCTTTGCAATGTCTCTGTAGGAGAGAGTCGGGAATTTCCTAGCAGACTTCTACTCTGTCAACGGCCTGGTGCTGGAGTCCAGGAAGCGCCGGGAACACCTGAGTGAGGAGGACATCCTGCGGAACAAGGCCATCATGGAGAGCCTGAGCAAAGGGGGGAACCTCATAGAGCAGAACTTTGAGGTGAGTCTTGGCAAAAGGGCAACCTCATACAGCAGAACTTTGAGGTGATTTTCAGAAAAGGGGGAACCTCATAGAGCAGCCCTTTAAGGTGAGTCTCTGCAAAGGGGGAAACTCATAAGACAGAACTTTGAGGCGAGTCTCAGCAAAGGGGGAACCTCATAGAGCAGCCCTTTAAGGTGAGTCTCTGCAAAGGGGGAAACTCATAAGACAGAACTTTGATGTGAGTCTCAGAACCTCACTTACTTTTACAGGCTCCAGCCAATCTCTCCCTCAGAGCTTTGCTAGTCTTTGACAACCTCTGCTCTCTTATTTTGATGTTTCTTCTCACATATCGAGCTAAGCTGTCCCAACCCACTCCCACGGCCCCCTTTGGGGAAGGTGCCGAGCTTTTCCATGTGCATAACAGAGCTCTCCTGCTAATTGGCATTCCCAGCCTCGTAAATTACTGCACACAGTCCTAGTTCAACAGTCCTGGTTTTAATCCCAGTTTTCTTTATCCATCTGTCGGTTTTCTGTATGCTTGACTGCATATGTATAGCTGCTGCATTACTGACTGAGTGCCTGCATCAAGTTTGCACCAGTGGACTGTGGGAAACTGGAAGACTTAACGTTTGTGCTCTGAAGGTCACTTTTTCTGTGAACACCATGACAAGGGAGTTAAATCATTGCCATGGACGGGGGGAGGGGGGCTATGACAAGTCTGATGGTCTTTGTGCTCCCCTATTCACACCAGACCTGTACGGCCCCATTAACACAGGCACGACATTTGCAGACAATCACCATGCCTGCTCCTGCATTCCATTACAATCCCAAAACCACAGATAATTCTGTATGGGATTTGCAAGAAAGAAAGGCCTTAGACTTACAGGGGTAGCACCTTAGTGTTACTTGGAAAATGCAGACCATAGAACAGTGTTTCATTTGTAATTACTTAAGCTGTTATTTAGTGTAATTGGACAAGGCTGGAACAAATTTAATGAACACTAAGGGATCCACTTTAAAACAGATGGAAAGGTTGTAGTCTTAAGAACATATATAAGGTTATATATCTCTGTATAGTGGGTTCAAATGGACATATGACTCAGTAGAGCTGACAGAGTTATAAAGCAGGCAGGGATCTGCTGATGTGCCAGTATAAGGTCATGATGCAGCATGAAGAGGATCAGGGCCTCATTCTTCAGTAGTCATTCAGTAGATTGGATTTCAGCTATCAAATTGTATCAGAGCTTGAAAATGAGTTGTTCAAAAGAAAAAACGGGATTCTGAAATCGGATTAAATCACGTAATCCAGTCTTGGTTTTGATCCGGATCAAATCTTTAGTATGTGCTTTTCAAAACATTTCAGCAGGATTGAATACATTTGATCCAAAAAGTCAGGATTTTTCTGATCCCAGCTGAAGGGTGAATTCAAGGTGGATTTCAGGAACAAAATGTAATAAAATTTAAAATTTGTTCATAGAATACAATTTATCTGTCATGTAGTATATATACATTTACTTATATTCTGCGCTTGATTTGTTTAATCGCTACAGTGATGAAGCAAATAAAGTAGGCATTACGCTAGCTATTAAGCTGTTCACTACAGTACAGTACAAAAAAAATGTCCCCATAAATAATCCCACAAACAACTGTTAATATCAAACAAAAATAATATATTTAATTTGAACTGTCATTCATCACTGTATGTTTAATTACAATGCCACAATCATCAGATTCAAAAGTAGTTTCTAACAATTGCATCCAAAAAGGTCTCTCCACAAATGAATTCCAAAAGTTCTTTATTTTAACTATTAGGAATTTTGTCGTCTTATGATTTAAAAAGCGTGTTCAAATTATTATGTATTTGTGGAAAATTAATATTTATTTATTAATATTTATTTTTTGTGCGTCAGAGGAACGGTTTGACAGTTTTAAAGAAATTGAAGATAGAAGGGGGTGTTTGTATTATTTTATTGTGCTGTTTTCTGTCTCTTCCAATAAAAGCACTTAAAGTGACCCCATACTGGCTGTTCTGCCAGTTGATCTTTACATAGCTAGTAGCCTACATTGTGATATGTCGTACCATTTAGAACACTGCTAATCCAGATTTGGTAATCCTGAAAAATCTATATCGCGATCAGGGTGATCCAATCCAAAGGTAACCTGATCCAGAATAACAAAACATGGGATTTCTAAATAAGATCATTCCGATCCAGTTTAAACTTTTTGAACAATAGGATCCAGGAGATAAACATGGGAGACGTAGTGACTGCTAAGCATGCAGGCCCTGTGAATGGCAGCCCTGCCCTCTGCTGTGGCCTGCCTTTCCTCAGGAGCAAAAAAAGGCATGAAAACAAAAAAATGATAAAAACTGATACCAGTTCATAAGTAGCCCCTCATTTCTGAACAAGAGATATGGTTAGATGACCCTTTCAGTCTATATAAATGGGTGTTTGTGTGTATTTCAGTGGTATGTGTACTTGAGTACTCTTAGGTGTGACTGACTCGTTTTTGAAGCATTTTTTCTTCTGTTCTTTCGTTCTTACGTCAGCCGGTGAGAAGACAGTCCCTCACTGTCCCATCACCCAGCACCATCTCATGGGAGGAGTACATCAACGCAGAGAATGGAAAGTACGTACTGTGTCGGGGGATTGTACCTGTCCTGCATTCACAGACTTGAGCATAACCTTCTCGAGAGGAACGCCGCTGAGCTGGGACAATGGGTGATTTGGGACTGGTTGAAAAGACAGATGCCAGTCCCTTACTTCAGTACTGCTTACATGTCTTGAATTCCAACTGCTGGTATTTTATAGGCTCGTATGAAATCCTCAGGTGTCTCCTCAGGGCTTTTCATTTTAGAAATTTAGACTAGCATTAGCATACTAGTTTATTGGCCTCCTCTTAACCATTGATGTAGTGTTCCATTGAAGATATGGAAGAGACATTTGGTAGAGTACTTCTTAACATTGACATTATATTTATTATAGATCCACCATAGGTGTAGTACATTCCAGCCTTCGTCAATGTGTGCTACCAAGAGTGCAAGCAGCTACTTATTAAGACAAACAAATATCCTTCTCAGAATTAGCTAATAGATAGTTATCAGTGATAGTGATAAATTCACAGCCACACCCCTACAGGATCTCAGAGACGGACCAGCCCATGTCATTATTCAACCAGAGAAGTTATTTCCTTGAGATCCTTATGACATTTTTTATTGCAGTCTTTAGTCTTGGCCATAACGGCGATGCTTGCCTTACACGCCATGACTTTTGCTGGGTCTGTTTGAAGGGCTCCCCATCTGGGCAGAGAGTTGGTCTGCAAAGAAAGCAAGAAGAACTTCAAAGCCACCGTGGCTATGAGCCAGGATTTCCCCCTCGGCATTGAGTCGTAAGTGCTTCTCCTACGATTGCTCACTAAACAAGTCTCACTTGTCCAAAATAGCGTGACAGCATCGAGTAATTGTTTTGTAACGTATCGTTTGTGACTGCCAATCCTCAATCCTCCGCACCTCTGTTTGTTTAAATACAATGAAGGGCTTCCTTGGTAGTTTTTTGAGTTGGACACTACAGAAATGGGGGTTTCACTCCTGCCCTCACTGTGTGTTTTTTGTGACATTAGGATATTTTCAACTGTGTTTGCAAAGGTTTCCTCCTACAGATCAGGAAGGACTGTGGTCTCTCTAAGGGGTTTCTTTTTATCTTTGTGTGAGTGCATGCCCTTCACTAGTGCTCTGGCTCATGATGTCTGCTTCCTGGGGGCAAGCTCCAAGCTCACCTGGGGTTATGGACATGAATTATTCTTTATAATGTTTCTCATAACCTGAAAACTTAAAATAAGCTGCCAACAAAAAAGAACTTTCATTTAGCAGCAAGGAGATTGCATTTTGATACATTGTATTTTTTAGCTTGAGATCAAAGTGCAGCACAAACCATTTTTATGGCATCTCTACAGTACTTAGTTAATAACCTTGCTCAAGGGCTCAATGGTGATATGATTACTCAGTGGGGTTTGAACCAACAACCTTTTGGTTGAGAAGCCATACACCACCCCCTCTGAAGTTGTTTTTTGTAGTACCTGTTTATCAACCCCATTTATTTATCTGCCCCTTTTGTTTCACTCCCTGTAGCCCAGATCCCTCACGCTGCTACCAAACACTGTAACTGTCTGAAGTTGGTTTTATTTCTCTTGAATATCTCCAACCCATCAGGCTTGTGTTTGTTTACAGCACTTTACCTTCCCAAAATGTGATAAGGGTGGGTGGCGGCAAATATGATACAAACACAAGTGGAGACATTCTCACATGCAAAGAAAAATGCATTCTGGTGGAATCAATCAACATTATCAGTAACATAAAGCACACAGCACAGTAGGGAGAATGAGCAATGCTGATATGCACTATAGAGGGCTGTTACTTTTTGTGCATGTTAAGCAAAATTGTGAGCATCCCAGCTAAGGGAAGCAGGCTTATAGTATGTATTAATGACATTTTTACGTCTTGCAGAAATTAACGTGTAAGGTTGCTGTTTGTGTTCGGAGTGTGTGGCTTCATGCTCTCTATTCTGAACTGCTCATACTGATTACTGAAACAGCTTCAGTTGTAGTTTAAAGTTTAAGACAGCTGACCTGTGTTTGTGTGTTTATTCTTCAGGTTACTGAATGTATTAGAGGTCATCGCTCCCTTTAAGCACTTTAACAAACTCAGAGAATTTGTCCAAATGAAACTCCCTCCCGGATTTCCAGTCAAACTAGGTAGGTTCTTTATTTCTAACTCTTTGTTAATGCATGAGGATGAGTCACATGTGCTCTTGTTTTGAGTATTGCTTATTTAAAATATTTATATACTATTGCCTAAAACCAGATGAACCTAGAACCAGTTCATTGTTCACAAAATATAAATCCTTATGTATGTCACACTTGACATGGAAAATTATACCTGTTTATTTACTGCTTAAGAACTGCTTTTTATATAGTAAAGATTAAAAAATTTTATAAAAGAAATTATTTAAAAACTATATTTTCACATTTGGTGGCATTTGCTTCAAGCATAACAAGAAGAACAATAGCTACTGTCAAAAGCAGCTAACAAAGAGTCTAGATACTTACGGGAGACGGCACCCAACTGGCCAGTCGGTATAATAATACCTGGGATTTTATATAGCAAGCTGTGACGTTGCTGGAGAATCTGTAAAAGAACAACAGGTTAGCTACAAGGCCTGCTAAGCTAATAAGGCTAAGACCGTAAATGGGCTTCTTCGTTAGTCATGCTTTTGATAGGGCGCATGGTTGTGATGAATGCCTTTGTCGTGTATCAGAATAGCCCTTTAATTTACTTCTCCCGTCTTGATGAGAATGATGAAACCTCATATACTACCATGTCATCTCACAACACTGCTGTGAGAGTAATGGATCTTCCTTATCGTCACGCTTACGAGCAGCAAACATCACATATTTTGTTCAGTAGAGATGTTTTCTCATACAAGATATTGCTCTGGTGTAGTTCAAATGACCAGCTAAACATGACAGAATGATGTTATTATGGTGATTTCATAATCTATCTTATATAATGTGTGTGTGTGTGTTGCAAACCCACATTATAAAGGAATGCCCAGGATCATGTTTAATGCTGAAATCATCCTGTGTTCCTTCTATCCAGACATCCCTGTGTTTCCGACCATCACAGCAACTGTAACATTTCAGGAGTTTCGGTACGATGACTTTGAAGAATCCATTTTCAACATCCCCAACGACTACAAAGAGGACCCTAGTCGCTTCCCTGACCTTTAACCTCTTTCAAGTAACGACTGGGGGGGGGGGGCACCCTAACACCAGTATGAACCGTGTATAAATCAATAAATAAAAAGGCAACTCTCTTACAGGGGTAATGACACACCCAGAGGGGTTTGCTGAATTTTTTTAAACGCTGTATGTAATGTTACAGGGATAGTGTTGGATGAACCTGTATTGAGGCACTGAGTGGTTTGTGTAAGAAAAATGGTACTGTTCTTATGTCTGGTTTTTAAGGTTGTGTTATGTATACCGTCAGAAGTTTCCAGAAGCTTCACTGAATTAAAGTAGCATCCACATGCACTACTTTAAATAAGCACTTTGCTAAGCTTTGTTCAGTTGGAAGGGGGTCACTTGTCTGTGCCAGTTTTTATTCTATTGGGTATATACTTAAAAAAAAAAAAAAAAGGAAAAAAAATGTTAACATCACAAAAGAATGATGACACGACTGTACAACAAAGCCATCTGGATCTCTGAGTTTCAGAAAAAATGGTAGTGTAAATCAAGCTTTTTTTTCCCCCCACTTTAGGTTTCTGAGCTGTATTTAAGCAATACAGTGCCATTTGAGAGAGACAAGGCATGTATGTTCTCAAAGCAGAAAGGTGTGATTCGGAAATAACATGGAAAATTTAAAATAAGTACAATGTACATTAAGATTTTTACAGGCATTTCCACTTACAGGGTGTAAATACTTCTGTTTTTAAGTGTCTTTCACGTCATTGTTGTATCTGAGTGTGAGAGGGCTGATGGAGGCATGCTGCTTTTTACCGGATTGGCTACTACTGAACTTTATTCACGCAAAGTGCTGATGTGGGTGCGGGCAGGGCTGACGCAGGAAGCTGCTACATCTCCACCATGGCTCACCCTTCTGTACACTACATACCGCGTGGACCTTTTGACTGAGTCTCCGCTGTGGCTGAGCGGACCTGAATGAACTTCTTTAACATGCAGAACACGCTGCTGTTTATCTCCCAGAGAGAACAGTAACAACTGCAGGAACTTCTGAAAACCTCCGAACACACGTGTACAAACGTCTTAAAACCATCAAAATCGGTTTATAAATCGGTCGGTTTATAAATCATCTCGTACAGTGTGGAAACTTGAATGGAGACTGTAATTTAACATGTCTAATGTTAAATGAAGGTGAAGTCAATAAACATAAAGTTTAATCCAGACATAGTCATCATCATACATGAAACCGCCATTAAATGACCTTGAAACTAGCCCTGAACAGCAGGTTCACGATCCCTTTGCACTTTGTGGTCAATAATCTTGACAGGCTGTCAGGTTTTGTTTATGCCAGGTCACTGTTTTTTTTTAACATCATTAATAATAAATGATAACAAATTTAGTTTCCAGTAAGACTGCTAAATCGAGAGGAACCTGTTAGCTCGTCAGGACTCCTTGATGTTGGTATTAATTTATTTTTGCTGTGTGCTTTGGAAACTTGATATTATCTTGGTTAATAAAGCACTAGCAGTATTCATGTCAGAATGCTTTTATTTTAATTTTTAATTATATTACTTTGTGTTTTTTAATTACACATTGGCCTAAAAATATGACCAGAAATATATGAGACAGCACCATTGTATGCTTCCAGACCTCACTACTGGATAGTGTGGCATGTTTCCCTGGCTATTTTTTTTTTATACTAATAAGCCATGTAATTTATCTTGCAGTCTCTGTGCTTGGTGGTTTGTTTTATTTCTTTCTACCATTGCTTCAGCTTTTAGGACTTTAAACACACACTTTCAAGTATACTTGTACCTACATGCAGATTGTACAGCAAGAACATTGTATAAGCCCGACACACTATTTTCATATGAAAACTGTACTCGAATAAAATATACACATATTAAGACTGTGATTCCTTCATCCGTCGGCTTCCGGCAGCTCATCCTGGGCAGGGTTATGGTGGTCTTTAGAGCAGTTCCTCAGGGCGTTTCCGGTTCCATATTTTTGCTTCCTCTCAGCTGTACCAGGTATTCGGTGTTCCTGATTGGCTGGGAGCTGGGAGGGAGCAAAAATATGGACTGTCCGGGGTTCGCCGAGAACCGGGTTGGGAAACACTGCTTTAGAGGATACGCAGCACGGGAAGTCAGGCCATCGCACAGCCCACACGCACTTTAACAGACTCCTAACCCACATGACTTCCAGAGGGAGAAAAAGCAGAAGCAATATTCACACTCCCAATGCTGGAGGCTCAAGGGCGCTACCCACTGCACCCACAGACATTATCATTACATTAATATTAATAATCCAGCAATAATAGATTTTTGGGATATTTGCCCTTTGTCACCTTTGTTAATCCTTGAACAGGGAAATCGTACTTAGATTTTATTCGTTCTGGTACTGAAATACATTGTAGGTATATGGATAACATTATAGAATGAAGTGTAGCTCATATAAGTTGTTTTGAGGTTCATGCTATATTGGTGAGGTAGTGTTCGTTCAAAAAGCAATTCACTTTGACATTTGAAATCCATAGGTTTTTCCTGCAGTAACCTGTTATTAAGAATATAACATAATTATATATTTAAAATTACATTTATGCTGCTCAATTATGGCAAAACTCCATCCATCCATCCATTTTCCAAACCGCTTATCCTTCTGGGTCGCGGGGGGTCCGGACCCTATCCCGGGAGCTATGGGCACGAGGCGCTGTGGCAAAAATCATAATCACAATTATCATGATTACTCATTGACTTTGGAAGCATGCATGTGCATAGGTCGGGGGTGGAAAAAAATGCCGGGTTTTTCCTAAAAATAATAAATATATATATTGTGAAGATTTCAATATGTAGTTTTTTATTATTACCTTTGTAGAGAGACCTGAGAGTATCTTTTAATCATTGTTAAATGAAAACATTTTATGAGCTTTTTTTAGTATTAGCATGTTTTTTAGCATAGCATTTTTAGCATCAGTTCATTTGGTGCCATAAGGTCCATGTTAAAATCATACATCACCCCATGAGGCATTTATTTCAAGGATCATGGCAAATGCTCCGCTTGTTCAGAGGTGTATTTCTGATACTGTGATGCCACCATTCTTTTAAACAATGTTACTGCACCCAGTATGTTGCGGCAATCCCATCGTTACAGGAAGGCAATTAGATTTGTTTTTTATATTTGTTTACAGGGACCTAAAATCATATGCACCTGATTACAATAACTTCTCGTTGGTCCCGTGGCCCTAGACCAGGGTTCTTCAACTCTGGACCTCGATTCCAAATCCAGGCCGTGTTTTCAGTTCTCCCAGGTAGTTAGTTTAATAATTACTGATTCCGATTGGTCAGAGGCTTCACACCTGACTGACAGGTAAAGGAAGGCTGGAAAACCAGCAGTGCTCGGACCTCGAGGACCGTGATTTGAATAACCCTGCCCTAGACCTTGCTGTCACATCCCAGTCGTAGGCTTTCCCAAGACCCGATGGCTCATTTTTTCCAGGTGCTGAATGCAAACTGCTGCCTTTTTAGTTTCTCACCACCATAATATAAAACCTGAACCCAAATAAAATCCTCATTCTGCCCTGCCGTCGCCATGCTACATGGCAGTGTGCCATCTACATTGGAGGTAAACCATACAGAATATTAGTGGATGTGGTTAAAACTGGAGAAATGTGTATGTTGCTTTATTTCTTCTTTAAAGCCAGAATGAAAGTCACCTGAAAAGACACCCCCATCTATGGCAGTTTTTTTTTGTTGAGAAGATTGGCAAGTTTCAGCTAACTTTTGTTTAGTAAATACCAGCTGCCTGGTAGGTGTATGTTTATGAACCATACAGATGTTAAGTTTCCTCAGTCCTAATGAAGTGAACTTCGGGTTAGGTACAAGTACTCAAAGCCACAAAAATAGTGGACTTGCAGCATTAGATACTGAATTTCACGACATTCAAATTCGAAATACACTTTTCACAATGCATGATTACGTCATCACCAGAGCAGATACAGATAAAGTAATATTTCTCAGTGAACTATTGCACAATTAGGGTGGCATGTGGATTTTGAGTGGCTTAAAGAAGGTATTGTCCCTATCAAATGGCAAATGACACAGAAAAGATGATTTGTATTCGGTAATACTGGCTTTTCTTGGATTCAGGAACACTAATATTAGACCAAAAAGGTAAATATTTTCCCATCAACTTTTATTATCAAAGATCTTCACTGATGTAACGTTACAAATTATATACTGACAGTGTGGTCTAATTCACGCACAGGCTTCAACCCAGTTTACATAGAGTATTTCAGTGGGAACTGGTATAACTATTAAATCACAAGACTTGATACAGAACAGGTCTGGATTGAGGGTATATTTCCACAGTCAAACTGCATTAAACAGCTGTAGAAAGAATGGTTTCCAAACAGAAATCAAGTTCAATCTAATCTACTTCAACAACCAAAATCCTCATTATGAAATATTTTAATATACACAAGTCATTCGGAGGACAGTATTTCATGTTGGTATAGTGCAGGAATAAATGAAGCCCCCCCTGCCCCCCATAAAAAAAACTGTGCATGGAGACCAAGGCTTATTTTAATAAACAGGCTCTTGATTTAACAAAATCAAACCTGTTAATAATGCCATTTTTATTGTATATCGTTTACAAATATGGATTAGAACCAAAAAGAAAATTTAACATGCACAAGTAATTCCACCTTCTGAGAAATAAACCCACTAATCCTACACTGTCTTACAGAAAGGATGGAAATTGTATTAAAATATTAAAAAACTATACATCTAAATTTAAGACTGCTATTCAATTCACCTGACAGCTTTTGGGTTGTTAAGCATATCAGTTGTTGCTTTTAAAAAGAACAGAAAACGCAAATGATAGGAATACATGAATAATGATGGGGTGGCCCTGAAGCTGAAGCATGGGGTACGCCTTCATTCACTCATGTCCATGTCCTCCTCGTGGTGATCATCACCATTGACTTTAGGCTCCTTCACTGCCTCCCCTGCAGTCTCCACTGACTCTTTGAGGCGCGGAGATGTCGCCAGGTCAGAATCTCGCTTTTCCTCCCTCTCTTTTTCACTGTCATACCCTTGTTCTTCTTCATCATAGTCCCTGGTTACCTGGAGAAATTAAACATTAAGCGGCATTGCAGTTGAAGTCTGATTCATTTAAAACACAAACATGGACTGTGAGTGTGTTTACAGAACACCAAATATCAAAAACCAAAACATAACTTGGATAACTTCGGTCTGCTCTGTTGGCAGCATTGCTAAATATACATGATGCTTCAGAAACTGGGCTGGAGAAAGCGTTATGCCTAGTGAGAAGAAAACTTGGCTTAACTCATAAGATGGAAATGAACCAATAGAGCCTGATAATGGGAGGGGGCGGGTGGGGGTAGAACAAATTTAGTTGAACTTAACAGAACTTTTCTACTGCCACACAGGAACAGAGCCCTATCCAAGCAGTACCGCCAAGATACTAGTTACAGCACAGTCCCACTTCGCTTCGTTTTCCACAACAGCAGGGTCTGGATAGCGACAGTGACATAAAACCAAAGAGAGACATCGTTGTTCACATAGGGTACATCAAGATTTACTATGTGCTAATTTCCACTAGCACATCTGGGAGAATGTCTATGTTATGTTAGCATCAAATGCTAGCGGAATTAACATTATCTTGCATAAATTTGCATTAGGAATCCATTCCGTTCAGCCGTTCCAAGCATTTAGACTAAGCAGCTCTGCTTGGTCAGACTTTCGGCCCTGCTAGCAAGGAGGGCCATGTCAGCAGGGTACGAATCACATCATTTACAATGGAAAACCATCAGTTTGTGGTACAACTCGGTTCTTGGAGGCAGTGGAAATGCGCCATAAATCTTTATATGCAAAACGAGCGGATCAACCAAATGTGGGCAAATGCAGTTATTCTGACAAATTCACTAGTTTTGCCAGCCATATAATGTTTGTAATGCTGATTATCCACAGCCCCAAAATGGGTCTTTCCATTTGAAACTATGATTAGGCCCATGAAGATAAATCTGAATATGATTTCTGACAGAACACTGAACAATTAAATTGTGTAAATTATATAATTTGTATAGGAAAGGTAAATGCAGTATGCCACGTATCAAATTACATGCTGCTCATACCATATCTTGCCTCAAATATATATTTATGCAAAAATGGTTTCGGGGGGAAGGTCACCTCCTCATTTAACAGTCATAGTAGCTGGTCCAAAGGTCACTTCAGTACTTGTATGCAAAAACCAAAGTAATCGTTTCACAGCACTAGTCATACCTTAACGTCTCCTTTCTCACTGTCAGACTTCTTTTCCCGTTCTTTCTCCTTATCTTTGTTTTTCTTCTTTTTGCTGGTAGACCGTTCTCTTTCGGCACGGCTCCTGTCTTTTTCCTCCTTTCTCTCACGATCCCTGTCTCTCTCCTTTTCTCGGTCCTTGTCCTTCTTCTTTTCCTTCTTGTGTCTGCAGATCACAAAACAGACCAGGTGAGGAAGACTGTTACAGCCACATGAAACAGCTGCTTCACATGCAAAACAGAAGTCAAGTTTATGTAAGTCACTGTCGTGATGCCTTCTACCTCCGCATGCAATCCAATACTCAGATTCATAAGCAGTAGGGATGGCACGGTTCATGAAAAAAAAACCGAACCGTTCTGTTCGGAGCATGCATGCGTCGCACGGTTCAACGGTTCATGACATGCGCAATGTAGCCTCGTGCCCCGTATGTGACGTCAGTGTGTTTCCCTTTCGCGCGAAAGATTAGGCTATATGCACAGAGCGGTGTGACATAGTTCCGGTAAAAGTTCAGCCAGCTAAGTAATTTCCGGTAGCCTTTCGTTTGCTGCGTTTAGCTCGTGTTTTCGGCGTTACCACCCTGTCTCTGAAGAAAAC